GACAAAGATGGTGTTGATTTGGTATCAGTGGGCCGGATATTGGTCTAGTTTGGGTCTCAGCCTTTAAAAGTCTTGGTTTTGGTCTTGGTCTCGACCCTCAGAGGTCTTGGTCTTGTCCTGGTCTCGGACTGTTCTTGGTCTCGGTTAGTGTGGTCTTGACTGCAACACTAATAAAATCATAAAACAGGTTCACAAATGAGCAAATTCCACCATAGAATCTCCAGCTCAGTGTAAACTATGAACATTTAGACTCTTGTGATGCCATCTGAAGCTATCTATAGTTTATGAATAATAAAATTACAGGCTAATGATATTTCAAAGGGAGATTCACGTTCACGACTCATCGGTGGAGTCACGGAGGAAGTGCGTTCTCCCGCGTGGACCCCGCGCATGTGAAGGCCCCTCGCCTCCTCACAGCCGCTCATTCACACGCACACGCACGCACACACGCACCCTCACGCACACACTACCCTATCGTGATGACGACCGCCGAGCACCCAAGACTTCTGACGTCAGGCGAGGAGAACGACCCGCTGCACCAATCAGGAGCCGAGTCCGGGCAGCGCGAGGACGGTGCCGCTGCCGACACACACAACCCGATGAGAACCATGCCAGCGGAGGGCTAGAGCGCAGCGCAGCCGACCCACCTGGCCCTCACCCCGGCGAGAGACGCGAGCAGCTACGGCGCGGAGCATCGGACGCACCGCGGAGGACCGGCTTTGGAGACCCCGGGGAGGACACGTTCGCTGCGGGGAGGAGGGGGACAGAACACCGGAGCGGGTAACACCACCTCCGTACCCCCCTTCCTCTTCCCACCCCCCCTCCTCCCCTCTCCCAGACACCAGCCTCTGTCCGCATAGCTGCAGCCCCTCGCCCGTTAGAGCACTTTGCCAGGACGGGACTCGCGGTGTGGTTACGGGGTGGGGGGGGGGGGGGGAGCGTTCGGAAAGCGTCGGGCGTCTTCGGAAGCGTTCGGGAATGCCAGGTTACTGCAGCACTTTTGGCGCTCAGTGGTGGTGACCTTCCCGCGTGCGCTCAGTGAAAAGGTGCAAAATAAAGACGCAAAAAGGCGAGAGGGACGCACGGGAGCTCGCGAAAGATGCGGAACAGCGTCTTAAAGAGTCAAGAGTAGATTACGCGCTTGTTTTTTAATGTTTTAAGGTGGAGTACGGCTCATTTAAAATACAAAAATGCAGAAATGATAAGAAAAGATGATGCGAAAAGAAAGAAATGTGCGTTTGAAACAACAGAAGGAGGAGAGGACTCGGGGGAAGGAGGGGAGGTGGGTTTTTTATGAATGAACATGGCTGAGCTAAAATTAGCCTCGTGTCAGATTTTCTTCCCTCGTCGCGCGCGCATCAGGCATATGTTGAATGAAAGAGCACGAGCAAACAGACGCACGCGCCGGACGTCACATGCACCATTGTTAGAGACGTTCCAAAAAAATCTAAAAATAGAAATTGGATGCTTCTTGGACGGTTCGGACTCGGCTGCTGGCGTCGTGCGTCGCGGTGAGATTTTGGGTTCGTTGGGTTCGTTTGGGATCTGCAGGGGGAGAGTCGGTCTGTGGCCCCGTTCTAGTCCCGGATTAGTACTGATGTAGACTTGGTTTAGATCTGGTTTAGTCCTGGTTTGGTACTGCGTTAGTGCTGGTTTAGTCCTGATCTAGACTTGGTGAGGTAATATTTTGCTCCTGGTTTGATCCCGATGGAGACTTCGTTTGCATATTCTAGTCCTGGTTTAATCCTTGTTTGGTTCTAGACTTGTTTGGTTCTGGTGTTGCTTTAGTCCAGTTTTAGCTCTGGTTTGTTAATATTTTGGTTTTGCTTTAACCCTGGTTTAGTCCTGATGTAGACTTGATTTGCCTTTGGGTTCTGTTTTTGTAGATCTGGTTTAGTCCTGGTTTGGTACTGCGTTAGTGCTGGTTTAGTCCTGATCTAGACTTAGTGAGGTAATATTTTGCTCCTGGTTTGATCCACTCTAGATCCTGATGGAGACTTTGTTTGCATATTCTAATCCTGGTTAAATCCTTGTTTGTTTCTAGATTTGTTTGGTCCTGGTTTAGTCCTGGTATTGACTTTAATCCTTGTTGGTCCTGAACAGGTTTAGTCCTGATTTGGTGTTGCTTTAGTCCAGTTTTAGTTCTGGTTTAGATGTAGACTTGGTTTGGTTTTGCTTTAATCCTGGTTTAGTCCTGATGTAAACTTGATTTGCCTTTTCTAGTCCTGGATTAATCCTGGTTTAGTTCTAATGTAGTCTTGTTCTAGTCCTGTTTGGTTCTTCTCAGGTTCTGGTTTAGTAATTGGGTTCTGTTTTTGTAGACTTGGTTTAGATCTGGTTTAGTCCTGGTTTGGTACTGCGTTAGTGCTGGTTTAGTCCTGATCTAGACTTGGTGAGGTAATATTTTGCTCCTGGTTTGATCCACTCTAGATCCTGATGGAGACTTCGTTTACACTAGTCCTGGTTTAATCCTTGTTTGGTTCTAGACCTGTTTGGTCCTGGTTTAGTCCTGGTATTGACTTTAGTCCTTGTTTCGTCCTGATTTGGTGTTGCTTTAATCCAGTTTTAGTTCTGGTTTAGATGTAGACTTGGTTTGGTTTTGATTTAATCCTGGTTTAGTCCTGATGTAGACTTGATTGGCCTTTTCTAGTCCTGGTTTAATCCTGGTTTAGTTCTAATGTAGTCTTGTTCTAGTCCTGTTTGGTTCTTCTCAGGTTCTGGTTTAGTAACTGGGTTCTGTTTTTGTAGACTTGGTTTAGTCCTGGTTTAGTTCTGATTTAGTCCTGGTCTGGCCCTGGTTTCGGGTCTAGCTGTTTATTATTGGTTTACTTAAAGTTGCATTATGTAACTTTACCAGTGGATGTTTTGCCACTTGACTGTCTCCATGGAGATGTTTACTGCTTTGCCAAAATGTTCCACAGTATGGCATTACACTCATCTGTGGTGCCAAGTTACAAGCCGTTGTTTTGTTTTGTAAAACTATAAAAACACCTGCAATTGAATAAATGCAGATTAATCAGTCTAATTTACTGTGTCCACGGAGACAAGCAGCTGGCAAATCAGAAAAGTTCCACGGTGTTCCTTTAAAAGCTACGTCTTGAGCAGAATCTCTCTTTTCTCTCCAGGTTTTTCATGACTCATGTTGTTTGTATTTTCTGACCCAACACATTGTGTCACGTCTCCTCCTGGGCCTTGTGCTCTTTCCTTGCCCCTCTCTTCTATTCTCCTCTCTTATCATCATCCTCTCCAACCTCTTCTTCTCTTTCCCTCTCATCTTTCCTGTCTCATTCTCTCTTTACTCTGCTCTTCCTCCACTGTAAGTTTCCTTGTCTATTGTTATTTCTTCACTATTCCTCTCTCCTCTCCCCCTATTCCTCCTTTTCTCTTCCATCTCCTCTTCTCTCTGTACTACCCCTCTTCTCATCTCCTGTCCCCACTCCTCCTTCACCTTCCTCCTCTCTCTCCTCTGCCTCTTCTCTCTCCTCTTATCCTCTCTCATCTAAACTCCTCTTCTCTCCCTCCTCCTCCCCTCCTCTCACCTCTTCTGTGTCTTCTTTTCCCTCACCCCTCTCCTTTCCTCCTCCTCTTCTCTCCTCTTGTCATCTTCTCTCCTCTGTCCTCCTCTCTCCTTTCTCCTCCTCCTCTCCTCTCCTCTCCTTTCCTCTCTTTTCTACCCCCTCCTCCACTCTCCTCTCTCCACTCCTCCTCATCCTCCTCTCTTGTCCTCCTCTCCTCCTCCTCCTCTCCACTCCTCTTCTCTCCTTTCCTCCTCCTTTTCTCCCTCCTCCTCTCACCTCTTCTTTCCCCTCACCTCTTTCCTTTCCTCCTCCTCTTGGCTCCACCTTTCTCCTCTATCCTCCTCTCTCCTTCCTCCTCCTCTCCTCTTTTCTACCCCCTCCTCCACTCTCCTCTCTCCACTCCTCCTCGTCCTCCTCTCCTCTTCTCTCCTTTCCTCCTCCTTCTCTCCTCTCCTCTCCCCTCTCCTCTCCACTCCTCCTCCTCTCCTCTGTCCTCTCTCCTTACCTCCTCCTCTCCTCCAGACGTAGTACTTTAGGTGATAGAGCTGATGATTCAAGTTGAGTTGTTTGTCGACAGTAGTCGTTTAGTGAATCACGGAGAGTGGATGACGTTAAAAGGTTCAGAGCAAAACTAAGCACAAGAAAACTGTTGTGTAAGTTCATTTTAACTATCCAGGTTAGTGTCACGATACTAAAATGTCAGACTCAATACTCAATACCGATTCCGATACCACAATGTTAAAAAAACACTCTTTATTTAGTCATCTGATTTTCAACATTAAATTGTTCTTTGATACTAGATTTAGCATTGGTTAGTATCTGATTTTCAATACGTTTGACATTAATCCTGGTTTTATAAAAGATTATTACACAAAACAGTATTACACAAAATGGACCTTCTGGAGCTTTCTATAACATGCCTGAAGATATATTTTATTCAATATGAGAAAAGACTGAAATCTGCAAGGGCCCATATTATGATCTTTATCTAAGTCTATGTTATAATATTTGTATATAATGTTTCTTCCTCATCAAAAATGTAACAGAGTTGTGTTTTATTTCATTCACATGTTTAACACAAAACCTTGTTCTTTTCTCAAACAGAAAACACTCTGTTCCACCTTGTGATGTCATGTGGTGACACAGGAAGCACTTCATTGTGTTTTTAAACTCCACACACATTCACTAGAATCATTTGGATTTTTTTAGCCCGGGAATTGCCAATCTCTGCTCAACAGTAGATAAAAAGTAGCTCTTACCTTGAAAACTACCACTTCATGACATCACAAGGTGGAACAGAGCATTCACAAATCCAGGTATGTTTGTGATGAGGATACAACATTATCACATAGATCAGAAAATATCATAATATCAGCCCTTTAAAGCTCACAAGAGTCAATTTTGCATAATATAGGACCTTTAAAATATAAAATATAACATTAACTCACGCCTGATCATTTCCGGTTGTTGTTTCTTACAGCTATGATCGTCTCCTTGGCGACGGTTGCTCTGAGCAGCGGCTTGAACTTCTCCTCGGGCCTGGAACCCTTCGACACTTCGTCATGGGGCGTTTCCGAGGACCCCACCAACTCCTCCACCGAGCCAATGGTGCGGACTCTCCCCTCAGAAATCGAACCGGACACCTCCTCGTCATTGGGAGTGCAGGAGGTTAGCCCTTGGGACATCGCGCTCTGTGTCACCGGGACGCTAATTTCCTGCGAAAACGCTTTGGTCATCGCGGTTTTGTTCTACACGCCGACTCTGCGCGCGCCAATGTTCATCCTGATCGGATCGCTGGCTGTGGCGGATATGCTAGCGGGACTCGGACTCATTTTGAACTTCGTCTTCACGTATTTGGTGGACAGCTCCGTGGAATTCGTGACGCTGTTGTCCGTGGGATTGCTCATTTCGGCTTTTTCGGCGTCAGTTTTGAACATTTTAGCTATAACGGTGGACCGCTATCTGTCGCTATACAACGCCCTCACCTACCACACGGAAAGAACAGTCACTTTCACTTACGTCATGGTGGTTTTCATCTGGGTTTCGTGTCTGACGCTCGGCCTACTTCCTATTCTGGGCTGGAATTGCTTCGAAGACGAATCGACGTGCAGCATCTGTCGCCCAGTAACCAAAAACAACGCCGTAGCTCTGGCGGTGACCTTCCTCCTCGTCTTCGCCCTGATGATGCAGCTCTACCTCCAGATCTGCAAAATCGCTTTCCGTCACGCGCAACAAATCGCCGTGCAGCACCAGTTCATCGCCATCTCCACCACGAAGGGAGTGTCCACGTTGTCGGCCATCTTGTGTGCCTTCGGGGCGTGCTGGCTTCCCTTCGCCATGTACTCCATCGTCGCGGACTCCTCGTACCCGGCGGTCTACACGTACGTCACGGTACTGCCGGCCACTTGCTGTTCCGTGATCAACCCCATCGTGTACGCTTTCCGAAACCCCGATATCCAGAAGTCGCTGTGGATGGCGTGCTGCGGGTGCGTTCCCAATTTTTCGCTAAGACCAAGGACTTCCAGTGACGTGTAGCAAACGGAAAAAAGGTGTTAATGTGGATATTTCTGAAGCTGAGCCAACGCCGCGAAAGAAGGATGTGGCGCCGACCAGTCCCCGCAAGCTTGTTCAAGGAGCTCACAGCTTACGGGACAGCGGTCGGTTGGACAAAAGAAGAAAAGGAAGAAGGTAAAAGTGCGTAGTTTTTTTGGGGGAGATGAAACTAACTGCAAAACGTGTTAGACCATTAAGGTTGATTGTATGTGTAAGTTACAATCATAGACTGTACATAGAAGTGGACTAAGGGAGTGCCACATCACCCCCAAACGTTCAACTCCAGTCAAATGAAGCTAATCGAGACTTGTATTTATAGTGGCTAATTTGGAGCAGAATTCCATGTTTGGAAATCCAAGCATGTGTATCATAGCAACCAAAGAGCCAATTAGGAGCGAGGTTGTTCTTCCACACAACTAGTTTAGCAGCACTTAAATGGGTTAATATGAACATTTTAAGGACAACAGAAAGTGAATGAGTCAATGGAGCCGAATCACGCCCACGCTTACTTCCTATCTGGAACGCGGCGGCCGGCGGGTTAGCTATGTCCATTTATATATACAGTCTATGGTTGTGATGTAGAAATGGCCCGGAGATGGATGGGGGTGTTCGAAAGGTGACTTTGCTACCCGCCCTCCCGAAGGGTACTAGAAACGCGCCCTACTTCTCAGAGCGTAGCATCGATAAGGGGGAGGGGCACTGGACCACATGTACACTGAAGGACGTGGAGCTAGCTAGTACGGTTATGCAATCAGAGGATATAAAAACAGCGCGTGAAAAATGAACGGTTATTAATGAGCTAAAAATACACAACAAATGACCTTGAATATTCCCACGAGCTAACTCTCGATGAGCTAACTCTTTGCTGTCTTCTCTGGATAGTAGAGGCTAGGCTAATGTAGCTAGCATGGACCAATCAGCAGAGACCAGTACGGCTGTAGTTGATTCAAAATGGCGTCTGATTCTGTTTTACAAATGACGTGAAAAACTATCGTACACAAAGTAGGATAACTCAACCAAGACAAACAAATTAAAACAACTATCTGATGAAATTACGGCTGGACTAATTGTTTTTGTCAGAATATACAAACCTATAACAAAATGAAAAATAAGAAAGAAAAACATTGAGTACATCTAAAGGCGCTGTACCTGATTTTTACAGTCTTAAAAAACATGCAAAATAAAACTAGTTAATTTTAAACAGTTTGAAGTGATCCAAAGTTATTCCTCACTTACCTTACGCATTCAGAGCATCATAATTATACCAAAATGAGTTTATAAGAGCTTTTCACAACTTTCAGAGACCAGAGTGAAATTACAAAATTAGCGACAATTAGCATGTTAGCACTATGCTAGCTATACACTTCCTGATGATCGGACTTTCTAATTAGATGCAGACTTATTTCAACTTCAAGAGCTGCTTATGTAATATATTTGTACTGGGGCAAGACACATTTTGCTCAAATACAATTGAAAAAAATGTGTACAGTGTCTTGTTGTCTTTTGGGTTTTGTTATGAGTAGACAAAGAGGCTAACAACACTGAAACTAGAACCAAAGCGCAAGTCATCAGATTTTTGTTCTCATAATGACAGAGCAGATTATTTTTTTTTTCATAGCTTTCAGTATTTATTTCATGAACGCTTTTAATAATTGTGATTAGAGATGGATATACGGCATATGTAAATAGGGTGTGCCACTTAAAAAGTACACATAAAGCTTTATTCGAACACTTAAATGCAAATGGATAACTGCTCAAAACGTGATTACATAGCTCTCCTGAAGGTTTGTGCTAAAAAGGGACTGTAAGTGAGTTTGTCGTAAATAAAAATGACATAATTAGGCAAAATTAAGCAATGCATATCGGTAGAGCTGATCGGCCATTGCTTGCTCTAGATTCAAAACATTCGGTATAGACCAATGTTATTGAATACAAATGCGAACAGCTAAAACTAGTATTGTTTAAAATGCGGATTTGTTGTAATACGGTGAGTTCTTGGGTGTAATCACTAATAGAAATGACCAGCTTCAACATTTGTGGATTTACCTTTTGGAAATTTCATGGTGAAGTACAATGTAATCAAACTGGCTCTTACCTCCATCTGGGAATATGACATTGTAAAATCTGGAAACCACCCATATGGATCGGCAATACCAAACAAACAAACAAACAAACAAACAAACAAACAAACCCAAATAGGTCAGTCTCTAATTATCATTTAACAATAATATTCAACTTTCTAAGTTTTTCATCTTTTCTCCATGGCGAAGTTATTGCTGTGTCTGGAATGTTTCGCAGTATGGCATTAAACCTTTCTATCTTCATGGAGACCAAACAAGGCCAAGTTACAGGTCAGATCTGTGGAGAGGCGACGCCATTCACAGTCACAATGTCTGTTTTTGTAACTATTTTTGAGCAATAAAACCACCTGTAATTAAATAAATGCAAAGTAGAGCTGTTTAATGTCATACTGTGGAACATTCCAGGCAGAGCAATGACATATCCATCCATAGCAACAAGCAGGTGACGGATCCCCAACCAAAAAGTTACACAGTGCACCTTTAAACGTTTTAGTGCGTTAGATTTCCACACTGAAGCTGGCGTGAGGAGGAGTTTTGTTGTGACTAAAACCAAGCGCTCCTCTCCTGTGAGTCTGAGGCAGCTGTTCTGTGTCGACTCAAACACAAAGCGCAGATTTCAGCACCAAGGACAGCTCTACTGCAGAGGACAGCTCCCTGGAAACACAGAGACAAAACTAGGCTACGCTCACTCCTCCGCCTTAAAGGGAGGGAGGGAGGGCCACGTATTTATATCCACAGACTATTTTAAGCATTCCTCATTATTCTCCTTTAAGAAATATATACTAGTAGATTAAACAAACTCATGTGGGCAGTATTAAAGGAACATTGTGTATTCTGCTTTCTTACTCTTTTAAAAGGGGCTATTGTCACAACTGAACGTGGGCTGCCAGTGCCTTAAAGGTGGATTGTGTAACTTTTCTGGTGGAGGGTCCATTATATGCTTGTGTACATGGTGATGTTGTTCCTTTGCTTGGGATGTTCCACAGTATGGCATTAAACAAATATATCTTGTATTTATTCAGTTATTGTTATATTTTATTTCTCAAAACTGCAGCAAAAACATGCATCCATGGAGATAGTTAAATGAAATGCCATACTGTAGAACATTACAGGAAAAAAAACAAGAAGGAATCAAGCAAAAAGGCCAAAAACCCACCCCAAACTCCTGCAATGTACCTATAACCTACAGATAGAAGACACATCCAAGTTTGTGTCATTCTCAGTATATGGACAGGCCTCATGTGAAAGCTCAGAACCTCCAGCATTCCTTCCTTGAGCTGCAGAGGCTGCACTAGCACTGATTCATGATGGCTGCAGACGCTGGGCTTTAGGTAGAGCCCATTCATATCAGAGAGAGACATTTTAGGTTTAAACACACTGGATTTCAGCTTTGAAACTGGCAACACAAATGAGAGACTCAAGTGAGGCTCATTCTGCTCTTTGATTGGATAACCATCTTGAACCAAAACACCAAATCATAACAAAAATAACTTGGCTATAATGTCTAATGTTTTTGTAATTAAGAGTAAATCAGCATTACAGTTGTTATCTGTAAAATCTGTATTTGTTTGGAACATATTTATCTCTCTAGTGACACAGATAAGTCAGCTTTATTAAAATTAAAAATCAAAATCTTACACACAATTAGTTTAAGAGAGAACTTTAAACTAATCCAAGAACCCCATGCTTTTCAGAATATGTTTGTAGAGGTCTAAACTACAGGATTATAATAGCTTTTACACAGAATAAGGCCCCATAGAGACAAAGGGAGGGCATCTGACACACAAGGATAATTTAGAACAGGTTTGTAAAAGTCTAAAGTCTAGTTTAAGAGAGAAGACTGAAATCTGAACTTTAAACTAATCCACAAACCCTATGTATTTCAGAACATGTTTGTAGAGGTCTAAACTAGAGGGTTATAACAGCTTTTACACAGAATAAGACCCCATAGAGACAAAGGGAGGGCATCTGACACACAGGTGCATTTAGTTCTCATATTAAATTACCCAAATTGATCAACATTTTCTCTTAATTTTCATATTCCTTCTCAAAATAGTCCCCTTCACCTCACCTGATCGTCTGACCAAGGCCGCGTGGTGCCATTCTGAACGCATAGCTCTAAATTTAGCCAGCGCGCTAACTCCATTGTCACTATTGATTCTCCATTAGTGCGGTGCAAGCGACATACATATTCGATAGGTCATTTTTCATGCAGACGCTGCGGTGACGGCTAGCATATGCGCGCTACAGATGCGATTTGGCTAACGCAGAGGAAGGGACACAAACAGAAATCCATACTGGCGTTGTCCATACTAATGTGTTTCCATGTTTTTCCATGAGGCCAGAGAGTAGATCATATAAAGGTACATTGTGTAACTTGGTGGACGCGTCGTCAAATGCTTTTCTCCATAGAGATGTTATTACTTTGTCTGGAATGTTTTGCCTTATGGTATTAAACCTTTCTATCAGCAAAAAGGCTGGGTATCATTAAGAAGTTGCCAATATGATATATACCTCAATACATAGGCCGTGATACGATAGCTAAATCATGGCTGTGATACTAGTCTTTGTTAAAGAGACAGTTCAGATTTTTGAACATAGGGTCTCATTTCCTAGTGAGCCAGAGTGCTGTAGATGTGTGGAGGCAAATCTATTATTACACCACACTGTCCATGTGAATGTCTGTGTCGATAGAATAATTTTAGAAGTAAAACTAACCTTGTATTGCATGAATTGTCGCACGTTGAGGGACTATTTTCTCAGCAGCAGCGGAATTTTACTCTGCTCTAGTTAGTTGTGATGATATGAACATGACCACATCTGGAACAGACTTTTTCATGTGCTTTAAGTGTCACTATGGCCATGGTGCTAGGTGCTAGGTGATATCAGTCCGCCACTGCC